CAAATGTGAACAAAGACTTCATAAAAATCAGGATATTGTCCTTCTATATGTCTCGTTGAAGATTGTCTGTCCCCCCCCGCCAGCTTATGCAGCGATTCATCATTGATCAGACCACATAGTTGGACTGTGCCTCACATCGCCGAGGAATATACCACTTATTTATTTATTTGTCTGCGTGGCACCCACTGACAAGCTATCCAGATGTGTTATTTTCTAATTATGTGTTGTAGTAATCGCCCCTCACATGATCCGTTTCAGCTCCTTAACATAATCCCAACCAAGTAACCGCATAGCGATTATGTTACTTTATAGCTAATAGCTTTATAGCTTATTTTATTGACCTATAGTCAATGTTCTGGGAAACGGATCGAAGTGGTCTTGAACTCAATCAATGGTCGGTGCAAGAACGAGCAGACCTCGTGTAAATGAAAATAAAAAAGAAACTAGCCTTTAAAGTTGTGCCTCTTTGCGCTGGAAGCTTGTTTAGCCTTGCTTCTTTTTTCCGGGGTCTTCTTAACAATGACAGCGTCCTCATTTTCCTCGTCGGACTCAAATATGAGGCGCCTACGCTTCGGTTGGGAGGATTTTAAAGCTGTCACAAAAAGTTCAAGGAGCCAAGTTGCGAAATAACATACCAACACCGGGAGAAAAATGATCATCGTCATCATCCTGATCACTGGGGGTTATGGTTGTCGGTATAGGTGTTTGTTTCGACGTTTCAATCACAGCAGGTACCGTTTGCGCGATTCTTGTTTCCAAAACATTCCTAAAAACCATTCATGGGAGATAGGCCCAAAGGGAACTTACGAAGAGGCTTTCGTGGGCCCTTCGGTAGGCACTAAAAAGTATATGACAAGTGAGTGATATGGGGTGCGTGAGACTTACTTATGGTAACAACTGTTGGTTTAGGGGCAGGGGCAAAAAAGTTCCTGAGTTCTTTTGTTTTGATGTTGTCATCCTTGCCAACTAAAAGAAAATGGTGATCTAAAGGCAACAGTCCGGGTCACCCACTGATGTTCAGCCTCTGAATAGTGGAAGATGTCTCAATGGTATCCGTCGTGTTTTCGCAACATGCTAAAGGGGGACGCATTTGGTCAGCGGGACACCATGGAATGGTGACAAGTCTGTGAGGCGTGAAATGTCACAATCAGCACTTTACTTCTTCAACGCATCTGTCGTCAGATTTAAAAGTAACTCGTTGCCAGCCAGAGTGCAAGAGCTCTGAACGAAAGAGTAACTGGAATGTTGAGACACTTACAGGACAGCGATGCCGTTGAATACTATAGATCACTCGTGTGAGTACCTTAGAGAAGCGAGACTCAGCTTCAACCATGCGGTCATAGGGAACAAGAGAAACGAGGGAATCACCCGATCGGTCCAAACCAACTAAAAGGTAGACAGCCGATAGATTCGGATGCGCTTTGAAATAATCAGACAACAGCCTGAAAAGTAGTGAATTGAATAACAAGACCTGCCTCTCTGAATCACGTATGTGATAATCAAAAGTTCGAGATATCCACTTTGGGGTGATCTGTGATGCAGGTTGCGATCAACAAAGTATGAAAAGCGGAAGGTTACAAGGATCATCTCGTCCTCCAACTTCTCGTCTATATTTTCAAAGAGTATTTCAACTTCTCTCATTTTTGGGGGCTGAAATGATCACAGGAAATGAGTGAGAACACGATGTAAGTTTGCAAAATAGACAGAAATTAAAGTTAACAGAAGAGAAAACATCAGGTGTTTCACAGCGAATTCCGTGCGGACAAACAAGTTAGTATTGATCTAGTAAACACTAGTCACATAAATTCTACTGGAGAATGAACCGCAAGATAAAGTGTGTTGTTTATATATTGCTGCCATGATCGGTAAAATGGGGAGCTCCATGGTAAGGGTGATGACCAAGAAGCAATTGATCAGAGCAACGTCTACCACCTTGCGAGAATGCTAAGAGACAGGTGGAGCAATAAAGTGGATGAAAAAAGTCCGATTATATAGATCACCGAATCCAAGGACCGTATGGTATTAGACCAAGTATGTCGGTATTTGTATTCCAGAAGCGATTATCCGCGTAAGGATGGTTATTATAAGATGTAGATAGACAGACCAATATTTAAATAGTAACATTAAGCTAATCAATACATCACGTGAATAGCGGTCGATCAAGGATGTCGCTTAGGTGGAACCGCAATTCATGGTAGTTTAGCGAAGGAAAGAACACCAAAGAGCCCAACTGCTGCGGTATAAGGAATAAATGGGAAGAATTCACAGCAAGCTTTAAGCTTGCTTACGTAGTTGTGGTTATTGGTTGTCTCGAAGTGATCCAATCAGTGACTTGCTGAATGGTTTCTCCGATTCCAGAATATAGAGACCTGGAAATCAGGAGGTGGTGTGGTGGTAAGTCGAAACCTTAATCATGCAGGTTACCTATCGAACGGACAAGAGGAGCGAATTTAAAGAGAGCTGGGTGAAGATCATCTCGTCGCTTCGGCATTATTCAACTTCAACAATGTGCTTGCGTGAGCAGAACATTGTCAGGTTGCCCAGGCCGAAACAGGAGAATGATAAGGGTTCCCAACCAAAGCCTTTGGTTCAAAAAACTTTACTGCAAAGCAGCGGAATTTCAGCATTGTACTACAGAGAGTCCGTTTTTATGGAGTAAGGAGCCAGCCACACTCCAAATCCCAACCTAGAGGGCCAGGAGATTAAGTTGGCCTGGCCTCTAACCGTTGACCAATCTAGTATGAGTGTTTCTGGAGGTGGAAGGCACCTCCAGCATAGCTCAATGGATCGCTGAGGCACACAAACCATTGCACCACGTTAAAATCCAGTCTCGTCGCAATGGAACTTACAAACCCATTGATCCTTGATCTAATCTAGAGCAGTTGTTATGATACCACAGCAGGCATCCGTCACACTGAATTCCCTCTGTGACTGCAGCGTCACAGGGGTCCTCTCCACATTTACAAAACAATTTGAGCATCCATAATAAATACGAGACAAGCAAGAAAATTAGTACAATAATAAAATGAGATAGCCAAGGACACAAAATACGCGTACTAGCTCAGTGATAAAATGCAAGAAGTGCACAGCAGTGCAAAGATAAAAACAACAAAATCGATAATATACAAAAAGTGCCGAAACGAACTCACGGAGACGAATGTAGTTAGCAGTAACCCCACTAGGTAGGATTACCTGGACCGGGGGCACAGGACAGGAAATCCGTAAGCTCGAGGTTCCGCTTAATGTAAGAACTGCCAAGTGTGTTTGAAACACCGTACTCAAGTTCGATGAATGTTAATCCCAAGAGAACGAAACGCTCGGACCTGTTACATAATGTTGTCGCTACGTATTGTGTTTGTCACCAGGTGTGCGGATTTACAACAACGTGTAGTCAGTGGTAGGGGCAGATGAGTTAACGCTTCTAGGTTATTCATATAGGAAGCAAAATCAGGGAAAATTGAGCGTTCGAGAGGGAGCCCACTAATAATTTTTACGGCGAACGCCCGGTGAGTGACAATTTTTTGCCAATCGGACGCCCATTAGGCGCTAATCCCGCACTCGGCACAGCAACACGAGCATATATGCCACTAGATGCCATCTCTGTGCGGATTGTTGAACACGCCTAAGGCGAACAAACGAACGGTAGTCGTGTAGCTATGGTACACCAGTGTGGTGAATGGACATGTGAAAAGGAAGTGCTAATAAGTGCATAAATAGGAACGTCACATATGTAAAGTTTATAAATATAGGCCAAGTGTTCTGAAAATTCCCTTTAAACCCTGGTAGATGTAGCAGCGTCGCTATTCATTTTCCCGCCGTATAATCAAGGGCTCATAACATTAATCTACGGCAGTGTTAGCTGATGTGAAACGTTATCAACTTGATACGGCGACATCATTTTGTGATGGAAAAGTAATGACCACTGATGCGTACCGAAGGGAAAATGAGAATGCGCTTCCGGAAGGATGTCCTCACCAATACGTATAATTCAGGTGCATTACTGTAAGCGATCCAGTGCAAGTGTGCTGTAAACGTACAATAAGTTTATTGCAGTTGCCGTTGCCACAGTCGTCCGGCGTGCCTCTCAGCCGTATTGAAGGGGGCATGTTAAATGACCAGACAGGCAGACCTGCATCATTCGCATACGTTGCATGTGGGGAAGCCATGGCCATATCCCAAAAATCCGTAATTGGCGAGTGAACAGGAATCCTGGCCTTTCGAAGGATGCAGGAAATGTGTGCTTTTATGCGCACGCAATATGGTTTTCGGCTAACGCGGCAAGATTTGTATGAAATAAGTCGGCATCATCGCAATGTGGGCACAAGTGAGGCGGAGGAAGTGACCAAACAGTTGGAGAAACATGGTGTAGTCAAAATTGTACGGAAAGGTGCAGAGATCCGTTTCCTGTATTTCGCCCCTTCCAGCATGCTGGAATTGGTGACGCAATACGGGGAGTAATATTGGCGGACTCAACGCATCAGATAAATTACGACGGTTACGTCCTGTTGCAGTTTATGTTTGTGGACGATGGTGGGCATGATATGTCCCACTCCTACATCTATCTGCCCAATGAGACGGAGGCAAGCTACCAGCACGCGATAGATGCGATGATTGTGATGGCTTCAAACACTGCTGCAGTACGTAAGCTGGTGATGGAAAAATGTTTAGCTCAGGTTACCGCATTTCACAATGCGTTCCCCACTGCGACCATAGTCTTTTTGTACGCTGCAAACTTTACGCGACATGGATCGACGGTGCGGGCATCTTCGTTTCATTATGACGGGTGTTGTGCCGTATGCTTCGCACCCTGTTAAACACCCAGGATTCCGCGCAGCATCATCATTTTATGGAACCCATCTGCGGATGGAACGACGAATGCTTTGGCTATCTACGTCGTACATAGATAACATGGTGGCTGAGCTGGGAGGCGCATTTGAAGGGTCACGTGTTGTTGTTTGGATGTGACAAAATAAATCGTGTAAAAAATGAGAATAATCATTTGAAAGGGAGATTAAGTAAGCGGAAAACTTTGAAGGCTATGTTTGACGTTATTATGCAACATTACACAACGATTTTAGAGGAGCGAGATGCCATACTTGCGAACGATGAACTACGCAAATACAGCGTTGCGGAGGATGTCAGTTCTGGCAATGCAGTTTTGTTGATATCCTTTTATGCACGAGGTCAATACGCTTGGCACTGCGAAGAGTTCGTGTTGACAACGTGAAGTTTGATGGGCGATAGTGGCTTCTTAAAGATGTCCACCTTGGAATTATGCCAGCGTTACTTGATGAAGGCAGGGAGTACCAGTGCCGCGTCAATCGACAGTGACGCATTCCAGATGCTCACATCTTGCATGTCGCATTCTTGCGAGACAATATGGCTCCTCACGTATGCCGTTGGTAGTTCCTCGAAGATGAGCGAACGAATTGCAGGATGACGCCGGACTACGCGTAACAGATATCTATGTGCACCAAAGTAACAATGCTGTTATCGATCTCCAGGATCCGTCTCGCATGGGACATATTGGGTGATATTGAGGCGCATCTAATTAGCATGGGTACAGACTGCTCCGATGAACATTGGGGGCGTTTGCCAGCATACGTTCATTACTGGCGAGAGATAGCAACATGGAGCTGTTTGGCAGGTCGTCAAGTTGCTCCGAGGTGATGCAGTTGACATGGGAACTGCTTTCTCGCTTGCAATCTTTGAAGATGCAACCATCAGGCACAGGGGCACCGGTGGCACTCGGACACGTAACCGCTACTTGCGAACGAGGACTCGGTGATACAGGTCGATGGTACCGTTCCACCCAATGACGCGGCGACCGGAGGTTTGGGAAACGGGACTACGCAAAGGGGACTAGCTCCAAAACGCTAGTCCCCGTTGGGCATTTGTGTCACCAAGGTGCCAGTAGGAGCCAGTGCGGTTAGTGGTTTGAAGTTTCGCAGACTCCGAACTACGTCGGCTCGGCACCGCAAGCGGTGGGGACGTACTGCTCCACCGACGTCCAGGAGGGACGCAGAGGGCCGGGTTTGTGCAGTGTCAGCATGAAGATGACGACATGGACGACAACACACAGGTGGATTGGATTATGTGTTATATATGCAGGCGATGGATCCAAGAAACAAGCGCATCATACCATGGTAAACCGGTCCACATGTGCGTGTTTGCCGCAAGTAAGTGCACGTGTCACCCAGTTAGGCTTTCCTGTTAAAGAGTACCACCGGTGTCAGCAGCTAACGCCATGTAACGCGATGTTCTGAATGCTCTTCTGAATAGCTTCCCGTATGGTATCGATGAATTTCAAGACAAAGGTTGTCTCATTGCTGAAAGCGTTACGTTCACTTGTTCGCCCGTTCATTTGACCAATGTGAGTTCGGCTTAGAAAGAGAAGTCTCACGAGAATATGGTACGTATTGGTAATAAATAGAGCGCGTTTATATGACCCATCGGCTGTGAAGATGGAGACTCGTACGTTATGAGAAGGCGAATCAACATTTTAGAGAGTGGCGCTGGCGTATACGCCGGTATCCTTATCCGCACATTGATTAGAGCAAGCAAAATGCACCCGGGCTCAAAGCAAACCAGCCCGCTGCTAGGACGGGTGAATTGCATTGCGTGACCGGGAGGTTGTGAGT